TATTAAAGGAACATAGGTGACATATAAAAGCCTTTCACTAACACACTAACATACATGCTACAGAAAAATTGATGAAATGTAAGTGCCAATATGTTGTCATCAAAACGCCATGCACCCATTTTGGAATATAAGACCCTTCTATCTGAAAATCCGTATTTCAAGAAATTATGAAAATTAACCTGGACTGACTCATAATCAAATCACACTGTCAACTGAAAGTAAACTGAGGGTTGTATTATTGATTATGTCACAAAAACACAACAAATTGCTGGCAAAGGAGCAATTAACAACAGGTCGGAGAAATACAAAAGAATGAGAATATGGGCATGGATTAATTTTATTAGATTCCGAGGATGCTTGTGTAGTATTCTCGTTTCACATTGATTTTTGCTCCATTAGTTTAAATCAAAATAGAGACACCTGAGCTCAGTCCAGAGCTAGCAGAGAGCCATTTCTATAGAGAGCATGTTATAAACAGCGCAGAGGGGGACCACAAACCTTGTCATTGACACAACAGTCTGAGTGAGCATGTGTGTGTGTATGTGTGTGTATTCCTGCCAGCTCCCAGTCTAGCGCTATTGTCTAACAAGGTCTAATTAGCACTATGGCACAATGAATTAGCATAATTATGCAAACAGGGCTCAGCTAAAGGCTTGGCACAAGGGGAGGCTACGGGGGGCACCTATTACAACACACACATGAACGTGCTCATAAGCGCGCGCGCGCACACACACACACGCACACAGTCACTAAGGACACTTAGACACCAGTACAACACATTAAACACGCATACGTGACTGTGACAGATCCACGGGATATAGAAAACACACACAAACCTTTCCAACAGTGCAACAGGAAGTGACAAGAAGACAGTCATGTGCAGTGATGATTGGCTTATTTGATATGTTTATTTCAGACACTGACTAAGTGACCTATGATGACATTGATCCTCTTTCCTCTTTACAAACATCCTGAACTACAAACAGTCCCCATATTACAGAAAACATCAGATACGACACACAGAAATGACCAGCTAACCCCCACCCTCCGCTCGCCGCCCTCCCTCACAACACTCAAACATTCTGGGCTTATAGTATTTACCAGCGGGGGTGATAGGTGAAGTCTGTGGGAGATAATAGGGATGAGTGAGAGGCTGAAAGGCTAGTAGCCATTCAGACAATGACAGCTGTAGCGAAGAAGGCTCTATTAGGCTTCATTAAGATGCTTGGCTCTTGATTACACACACACAAAGACGCTCACATGGAAATGAGTCTGTGCTTAACTGCATCTATGCCTTCCAGTGGAGGATTGCAAACACTAAAACACGCAGCAAAGATAATTTATTCCTGTTTGTGAGTATGTGTGTTTGTGTGTATATGGGCATACCGGTGTGTCAATGTGACCTTTGCCTGCAACATGAACCCAAAAAGTAACCCCAGAGCCAAACAAGCCCTCTTACCGAAAGCCATGCAGTGTCAACAAGCTCTACCTAAACCCTCTCAAACACACACATGCACACACCTCCTCTGATGCATTCTTAGTCACCCAACCCCAAGGGCCTGTATTGTGTCCTAAACTCCTGATCCCTAGCAGGAAACAAGGACCCCTAAAACCCCATACAAAACCTGTACAAAGCTCTCTTACAATTACAAGCCCCCACTGTCAGCTAAAGAGCCAGGAAGGTCAGAAGTCCAAAGTTCAAATAGTTCAAAGTGATCAAGATCAGTCTGAAATGGGCAAAAATAATTAATTAACATTATAACGAGGTATTGCCACAACTTCTGAATGACCACTAGAGGGGGTGCTTATTACTAGCATATCTCATCAAGTGCAAACATTGGTGAGTATCTATGTCACCTGTCAACTGGCTGATGCATGTGCCCTCCATGAAACACCAGGGTACCCTCATGTCGTTGTCTTCATGGGTCCAAAGTGTTGGACCCGAAATGCCCTCGACCTGCAAGAGATACTAACAGCAACACCAGGAGCAGCATGATGCTCGATGAATTGACAAGCAGCTATGGTGAAAAAGAGCAGCAATATCATAATAATGTCATAAGAACAAATGTGACGTTACAGAAACTAATTCCAAAAATTATTTGTTCACATGAATGTCATATTTTCACCTGCTGCACCAACAATAAAATGATCTGTGAGTACTGAGTACTGAGTACTGTGTGTCTTCATTTGGTTTTGTCAGTTTTATTGTTTTACTTTTATTGATTTGTGCACAGTTAAGTATTTTCATACAAGTGCATTCCCTGTGTTGCAGTACCGACTGATGTACACAATAGGTAATGGGCTATAAATTATACCATTATTAACTTCGACCTAAATATATGGTTTAATATGAGTTTGAATATATCTTCAAAATACATAACATGCTTATTAACTGTGGGAAGAAGTGCCCATATGTCCCAGATATCACAGACAAAGCAATATGTAGTCCTCTCAGTGATATAATGTCATCTCTAGACACACTCTCCATTTCCAAAAACATCTTCATTAAGACTACTTGCCTGCTCCTCTGATCTTGAAATGAAACCACTGACTCCAGCTTATCGTCACCTTAAGAAACAACATATTGTTCACATACGTGCACAGCGGTGGGACAAACACAATACCCGGGAGAGAGGGTCATGCTGAGAGGTGGTTGCAATTTTAAGCTGAGTCCACACATTTTGGAGGCAGTGGACTAATCCGGCCAGGCTTTTTAGCCTGCTATTCAGGAGGACAAGGACCCCTAGGATTTGGGCTTGTCCACACCTCAGGGGTAGGGGATTATCAAGATAGCAGGAACAGTGGAGAGTGTGTGATGGCGGGCGAAGTGAATATGTCGTTGTTGTTTTTTTCAAGAAAATGACAAGTGTAGTGGCTGTATATCTTTGTGAGAAGCACACATAAGTAGGTATCTGTGTGTTTTGTGTATTTAGATGGGTCTCTCTCTGACTCCTATCTGGAAAAATATACCCCAGAGCTGTGACAGGGTTACCTCTGGGCCTTTCAGAGCCTCCCCTCAACCAATCCTAATTGATCTCACGCATTACTAGTCCCAAACATGAGATGGAGAACAGGAGGGAGATGGCTGGCTCATTGTTTGAGGAACGAGGTCCTCTTGCTAGTGGCTCTCCACTCCTCACATACACACACACAACCTCTGGCATGCCCACCCACCTTCTCCCCTTCTCCCCCCCTTTTCCCCTCCTCTATGCTCTCATCTCCGGCTGTGCTAATCCACCAGGCCAAGTCAGGAACTCAGTTACCCATCTGGCCAAGCATGACTCCAGCTGGGAGGACAGAGGGATGGAGGGGTGGAAGGAAGAAAGAGGAGAAATGCTAAGAGGGGTAGACTGAGAAAGCTGGATGCTGTCAGTGGTTTGGAGATGTGCAGTGTGAGGGATATAATTTTACTATTTACTGCTTTATAATGGAGGATGATAAAGAACAGAGGGTATGAGGTATCTGCAAATCACAGAGCACACAGTGAAGGCTGCTGGAATGCCAAAAGGCAAAACATGATGCCTTCAACTTTTTCTCTCTACAAATAAAAAGTATTGATCCAATTGTGTATTTGTAGAGAAAGGGGATTATCCATTCTGGCAACCTGGAATGAGAGCTGCTACTGAGCAGTGTCACAACTTATATTGTCTGAGCACACTGGGGTGCAAGGAAGTAGCCTGTAGCCATGACCTTCACCTCTGACCCTGACTCCTGTGAAGCCATCTGGCTGGTTAGCACTAACCCATGACCTTTGTCATAACCTATCACATGCCTGTGAAGACAGACCTGCACAGAAAGAGGCACATAATAACTTAAAAGGGGCCACATCTAAATTTGTCATCAGTGGAGCAGGTCTGTGAAGCTGAACCCATATTTATACACTTGTTGTTGTTTCTTATGTTGCAATAATTTTTACTTCCGGTGAGGTGTAGTGGAAGACATATTTCTACAAAGTTGTACAATGTAGTTGTAATATATACAATGACATTAACTTTGAATGATATAAAGTACCACAAAATTGTCTGTAATCTTATTAAGAATTCTACTTTCCTGGATTGTTGGAAAAAATTACAGATTGTGTGTGAACCGTTTCATAAAATGCAGTCACGCATGTCTAGCTGAAATACCTCTATGACTGGATTTACATTGCTAAAAGACATAAGCAATAACTGGACAGAACAGAGAAAAACTGAATCAAACTCAACCAGAAGTAAAATCAGTCAAGCTAAATGCCTCACCAAAACTTCACAGAATGAAGGTGAAATCAAGGTGTTTGCGTTTCAGTTGATGCTATTCCACTCCATATCATAGAGCGTGTGCAAATCCCTGTTTGAGATGCTCTTTCCTTTCTCCCAAACCAATCATAACTGTCGACTGAAGCAATAAGAAGACTGGAGCCCACTTTCCCTCTAAAGGACATTTGAAGGTAGTTGGGAGGAATGAGTAGATGATAAACCACTGTAGAACACAAGAGACATACTCCAGTTCAAAGAGATGGAATCAAACCACCTGTATCAAACCATCAATCAAACACTAACAGCACACAGCATGGGGCTAACCCACAGTTATAGTGTGTGTGTGTGTGTGTGTGTGTGTGTGTGTGTGTGTGTATGTTTCATGTTTTTATTTCCCGGTGGGGACATTCACGTAAATGCACCGCTGGGGACTCATTGAGGTCCCAACTGGTAGAGACTGCTTTTTGGGGGTTAAGGTTCAGATTATAATTAGGTTAAGGTTAGGGGTAGGGTAAGGGTTAAAGTTAGGCATGTAGTTGTGATGGTTAAAGTTAGGGTTAGGGGCTACAGAATCCATTATGTCAATGAGATGTCCTCACCAGGAACAAACGTGTGTGTCACTTAACGCAAATATACTCAGCACATTTGTGTGTGGATAAAAGCCAGGGAGGAGTGCAATTCTATAAACATAATCACATGCACACTCATACACACACACACATTAATAATACAGTGCCTTCATAGTAAGATAAAGTATCTACTTACAGACATTACCAGTGTTGTCAAAACTGTTGAGCACTTCATTGACTCTAAGAGGCCCCAGGTTATCCCTGAGAAGCACAGAAATATAGAGGGTTATATTGTGTGAATATTATATTTTCTTACAGACAGTGTAAAAAGACAAAAATTTGAATTACTATTTTAAACTTATGGCATTGAGCCAAAGGGAAAGTACCAAAAAGTGAGCACGGATTTGATGTGTCATGTATTTACAAATCTCAATAGCTGACATTACTGACTAGAGGAAGTGGTTAGCTAAATCAAATTTGTAAAACATTTGTTACATTTGAAAGTTTTTAGACATAAAAGTTACATATAACCATTAATTCAACAGCATTTCTATCTCTTTATTTCAACCTGTTTCATAGGACATGCCTTAACAACATGATATGCAAAGTGGTTTCTTCTAGATTCACAACAAACCACAGATTCTAGATCATTTTAGGTAATCTCATCTATGCTCTTTTACCCTGATGATAAAAAAAACAGCAAGACACATGTCTAAACCTGGAACTTGTACCCAAATAGTCTGATGTGCTGTGGTATCATTAAATGACCCCTTGTGTGGTGCGCTGTCTCTGTGAAACTAGAGGCTTATGCGTCCTTTCAAGTGTGTGTACCTGAGTAAGGCACTGTACTCAGGAAAGTAGACACTTCTGTACTCCACCCACTGGTCATCTGAGGTATCACTAGGGTCTTGTGTCACAAGCCTTTTCCTGCTGAAAAGGTCAAATGTGGCAAACCTACGAACAGACACCTGTTTGACCTCTGGACTGTCCACCTGCTTGTGACACAACGCCTGTGAGAGTTGAAAGTGAAAATAAAGGGGAGTTTCAATTTCCACAAAACAGCACATGCCTTAATTGGTAAAACTTCTCATAAGCTATAAAGTCTTAGCATTTGAAGAATGAATGTCACATTTTCCTGTTTTGACAGTTCTCATCTTTTAATGGACATGTTTTGGTCTTCACTCAATGGAACATTAAAAGTCAGAAGCCCAACACTGTGAATTGAACTAAAGGTTAAACATATTAAGTGTGTTGCTGTAAAAAGACTTTAACATTGAATTGCCCTGTAAATATGACTAAACATGTTGCAAAGAATGAATTTGCATATTTTTATCCTTAACTGGCAGAGTTAATTACATTAGATAGTCCTATGTGTATTTATCTACTGTATCTATCTATCTGTTAATTCTGGTCTATATAAATAGAGGTCACTGCTGCGCCAGGAGGAAGAAATGCAGAGTGTAAGATGCTGCAGGGAGCTTTTCTCATGCAATGACCATCTATGGGAAAAAGTAAAAGCCCTACTTTTCCAGCTACTGCTGCTGTGTGTACACAGTTCTTGCTCATGTGTAGCTCATCAGAGGAGAGAGAGATTGGTCCCAACTGGTGACAAAGTTACTGGAAGGCTGATGGTAATATAGCCTAATAATATGTTGATACAATTACAGAAGGTAAAGATTCAAGTTACATTATCAAAGCAGATCAGAGTATTAATGAACCGAGATTTCCATCATATTGTATCAGACTGATTCAGGTATCTGACAGGCAATGTCATAACTGCTGGATTAGCAAACTCAAATGACAGCTAACGTACATAAATTAAACATGGAGAAATAAGACCTTTCAATAAGACTGGGCAAGGTTTAGTACACAAAAAAAGCTTTCGCCTGGTGCCCAAAATTAGAGAGGAAACGTGACAGCGAGATAGTATGACTGTTACTATATGTTTCCAGCACCCGTATTATTCTATAATTATGACAAACACATTTTATGTTGAACATTCAACACAGTTTGAAAATATGTTAGCGAAAATAGTCTATAACCATAAAGGATTTATGCTTTCTTCTGTGACTAATAATACCTGTCTCAATAGGGTCCACCGGGCTCTAGCGACATCAGTTGTACCACAGGTCCCAACCCGAGAGGTGTGGGAATTAGCTGCAAAGGTATCTTCATTAATAATTTTCCTCACAGGCGAAGCCGGCTCGGATTTTACAGTACCGGTGGAGTCCCTCTCCATTTTTTCTTCGAAGTTGAAAATAAATCAGTAAACAAATTCACAAGCTGTAGAGAGCTGTCACAGTTATCGGTAACAAGGTGGGAATACAAAAATAAGGCTTTTTTCTGTAAACTACACCAACGAAAAAACGATCGCAGATATGCCTTGCCTGCAATCACCTGTTACATCCACAATGGACACATGCTACTTCCGTACACTTTTGGCATTCGAGACAGAGCAATAGATTATCGAAACAATCATGCTCGATTTTCAGTTACAAACTGGCAGCTGCATGTGTCTGAACTTGATTGTTTTAGTCTGGCTTTGCCAGCTACGTCATCCACAGCGGGCTTTGTTTAGGAAATCATGCACGTGCACAGAAGAATTTTCTAGCTCCTGTCAACTGTTAACCAACGGCAGATTTAAATAATGAAGCAATTAATATTGCATATTGAAATACAATGCTTATTTGTCATATGAAACGTTTACGCTTTTACTGTCGTGACGACGACAGCAACGTTAATATACCTGGCAGTGACAGTTAGCTAATAATCAACTTTAAACAGCTACAATATGTTAATTTAGCAAGTTAACAAACCCGGTAAATTAGCGTAATGGCCGTTCTCTCGTCTCTGCTGTTTTCAGCTGCTCGTCTTCTTACACCATGTCGGTTACGATTCTGGGAGCTCGCCGTTTGCAAACGGATAACATGGCTCTCCCTGTCCACCCAACGTTGTTACACGTCGGTAAGGGTGTTCAGTTAACGTCAATGATGCTGTTTTTACTCACCGTAGGCTTGGTGTAAGATTGCTGACTGTTAAACTACCTCGTCGATAACGTCAAGTCATTCATTATTCAAAGCGGTGTCTTGGCACCAGGCTGACAAAACTAGTCTTGTAAGGAGCCACTGATAAGGGCATGGGGTTGAAATTGAGCCCTTTTGGAGGTGGCTAACAGGGAATGTAGGGAAATTTAGAAACATACAAAACAAAAAAACAGCAATACAATCAGTCACTATATTGCCTCAGTCCTTCAAATTCGGACTCTTGCAATCATTTAACGTTAGGTGAATTTAGAGATGGAAAAATGCAATTGGTCACTGTTCTGGTTATCTAACTAATATGTTTAACATAAGTTGTTTTCAAACTACTTAATTCCACAAGAAAGGACAATAGCTTACATTTCTATTTTGGCAGTGCCAAAGTAACTGTGAAATAACAGCTTTACACCAGTTCACCGAGTGGTTTACAATTTACACTCCTTCCATTTAGAGGTTCAGTGTGTTGCCCCAGTGAGACTTGCACAGGATATAAGAATCTTGATTGGAGCAGCAATGGCCTAGCAATTGAAGCATATAGTTATAGAGTTATGATATCTTTCCCTCATTTTTTTATTTCAGGACATTTCAAACTCATCAGTTGACCATGTCAGCCCTGGACTTGATAGATACAAGGACCTGCAGAAGTATTTCAACAGGAGACTGAAGGCAACATACCGAAGGTTCTCCAACATGCCTGATCAGTCAGTGGTAAGGCCTGCCTGCATTATCATTTTGAATATTACCTCACTGGGGCTGGTGGATGAAACATTTGAATTACCAAAAAATGAACAAATTAAATAAGTAACAGTTCCCTGCATACCTGATACACACAGATAGTAACCAAGTTTTAAATCGTGACCCATCTCCTGGTGTTAAGGATGCCAACATTCACCCTTGTGGTGTCAGGAAAAAAAGGTTTACATTTCTGGGTAGGATTTGGAAGATGCACTGTGATTTGTCTTGACACAGGTCTGTGGACATCACCATGTGTATTTCATTGAAGGAGATGGCATCTACAGAATGGACAAGAGACAGAGTAAGTAGAAAGCATTAATATAGCTTGACTACATTTAATTAAAAATATGTTAAATGAATTGGAGGGAAACCAAAAAGATTACAGAAATTAAATTGCAATATGTTTTTCTTATATATTGACCCTATCCCCACATCTGCATCTACAACTTTTTTATGCAATGCATTATGAAGAATAGTGGCACTCCCACTTTTGTGTATAACTCAGTTTCCTGTCCCCATTTGTAGGTGAGCCGGAGCCAAAGCAGGTGCTAAATCTAGGACAGGTCTCTTGGCAGGAGGAGAAGACAGGTCTTGATAATGAAGAGGGAAAGCAGAGATTTTACTGGACTGTCCAGAGAATACGTCTGTCCCCACAGGAAAAGCATCTTGCTGCCACACTAAAATCAAATCACGGAGAAGAGCTGAGGTGACGATAATAGAACAGAATACAAAATATCTTTTATTTGGCAGCAATGTTTTTTTTTCCTCAATGATTTCTTTAACACTTTGAATGAATAAATTAATAACTGTCCTGTGACAAACCAGGTGTGTGGTTGTGAGACTTGGAAAGAGAAATACCCCTCTAGGTCCCCCACATGTTGTTTTCACACTGGACAAAGTCTTCAGCTTTGGTATGTTTTAAGTAGTTTGCACTTAACGTAATGTTTGTTTTATGTATTTCAGAAACAGTAGAGATAATATTGCTCCAGCTAAAATAAAAGGATATTATTGTGTATGTCTGTGCATGGGTGAAGAGTGGGCCACAGACGAGGTCCTGTTTTACACCATCCTGGAGGGTCTTCGCTGCAGCAGAGTGTCTCGTCTGGACCTGACCTCCAGCGGAAGCAGGAGAATCTCTGTGTATGAGGAAACACATCCTGAGTAAGTGGAAGTAATGTGACATCTAAGCTGTCCTGGCACCCACACCATCTCTAATTGAAACACTTACATCTCCCAGTGTGTTTGTGGAGGTTGCCCTTTCCAGAGACCAACATATCTTGAGCATCAACTGCAACAGCAGGACCAGTTCAGAGGTGCGGCTAATTGATATAACAACATCCCATTTAGAGCCTTTCCTGGTTCAGTCGCGCCAGCCAGACCTCCTGTACCATGTGGAGCACTGGAGAAGCTGGCTGATTATACTTTCTAACACAGGGCCCGGACAGGAATATCAGGTAGAGTTTGTACAATACATATGTAAACACACACTGTTTATAGGGCACATTAATTTAACTGCAATACGATGTGGAAACAGTATTCAAAGTTATAATTCACACAGATAAATACAAATATAATATCACACATGTCTGTCTGTTCCACTTCTGCTTTGTGCTGAGGTTTGATTGGTTAGTTGATCATGCAGGATGACAGTGTTGCATAAACACAGATGCTTAGTACAGAGACACAGTACATACAGGATACGTAACCATTGTTGCTGCTGCTGATGTTTTCAGAAAACTACAAGATTTACTTTAGAACCCTTTAATTTGTCATTTTTACTGTTTTGACTGGAAGTTGTTGGTCCCTATTAGCCACTTGAGTCAGCTGTAGAGTATTAAATTTGAAAAAAGAAAAACATGTTTTATCTTAAGTGAGGAGATTTATCCTTCTGTATGCTCACTAGGTGGTGCAGGCCCCTCTCTCAGAGCCATCCATAGTCTCCTGGGTGCCCTTGTATGCCCCTGGCCCTGGCACTGCAATCAAAGACATGGACGTGGTCGGAGACCACTGTGTGTTGGTTGCAAGAACACCAGCCGGCGAACTCGTCCTGATCGTGGTCCCGCTGACCCATCCCAAGGAAGCATACACTGTACAGGTCAGTGTGAGAGAAAAGTCTTTGCTGTAAATTTGCTTTATATTTTTAGACAGATACTCTTTGTTGTTTTCATAGCCAGTAGATATTCTACACAGAAACATACAGATATTCACACAGCAACACACACAAATATATATTTCATGTGACAACATTGAAGAAATGACTCTTTGCTACAATGTAAAGTAGTGAGTGTACAGCTTGTATAACAATGTAAATTTGTTGTCCCCTCAAAATAACATGTCATTAATGTCTAAACCACTGGAAACAAAAGTGAGTACACCCCTAAGTGAAAATGTCCAAATTGGGCCCAATTAGCCATTTTCCCTCCCTGGTGTCATGTGACTGGTTAGTGTTACAGGGTCTCCAGTGTGAATGAGGAGGTGTATTAAATTTGGTGTTATCGCTCTCACCCTCCCTCATACTGGTCACTGGAAATTCAACATGGCACCTCATGGAAAATAACTCTCTGAGGATCTGAACAAATAGAATTGTTGCTCTACATGAGAGTGTCTTCCAGCCCACTTGATGTAATACCTACAAAGTTTTTACTGAAAGTAATGGATTCTGTTGGGCCCCATTTGATCTCTGTTTTCAACAGCTCCCTATCTACTGGTTGTGTCCCTGATTATTTTAAAACCGCTTGCATGAACCCACTTTTAAAGAAACTTGGTTTAGATCCCTCCCTCCCACAAAATTTTAGACCAATTTCAAAACTGCCTTTTATTGCAAAGATTTTAGAAAGAATTGTGTCCAAATAACTGCTCACTGTACTGGAAAATAAATTATTTGAAAAGTTTCAATCTGGTTTCAGGAAGTACAACAGCACTGAGACTGCCCTGCTTAAAGTCACCAATGACCTTTTAATGTCTGCTGATGAAGGCATGTGCTCAGTCCTGGTACTCCTGGACCTTAGCGCTGCTTTTGACACCATTGATCACAACATCATGTTAGACAGACTGAGGCACTGGGTGGGGATCTCTGGTACTGCCCTAGAATGGTTTTCATCCTACCTGTCAAATAGGAAGTTTTGCGTGTCTGTAAACAACTATGTCTCTTCGTTCTGTCCAGTTAAATATGGTGTGCCTCAGGGGTCGGTCTTAGGACCCATTTTGTTTTCCTTCTATCTGCTTCCCCTTGGACATATGATCCATGGTATTTATTTTCATATTTATGCTGATGACACACAAATGTACTTTCCCGTCAGATCCACAGACCCTGGAATGCTGAGTTCACTTAACAACTGCCTTTGTGAAGTTAAAAAATGGATGTCAAATAAGTTCCTCCAGCTGAACTCAGACAAAACAGAAATCCTGGTCATTGGGTCCCAGCAGATGGCAAATGACAAATACTGCCACCTGCTGGTTCCCTAGTAAATCACATTAAGCCTGTTGCAAAGAACCTTGGTGTTTGGTTTGATAGTAATTTAAATTTTGAGCAGCACACCACAAAGCTTGTTCAATCATGTTTTTATCAACTTAGAAATATAGCAAAAATTCGATCTATGTTTACTTTTAAGGACACCGAGACCATTTTACACGCCTTCATCTCATCACGCCTGG